TCTAAGTATTTCTAGCACAGATTAATGAAACTTTTACTGCTAATAATACATATGTTTAAGCCTTTAGTTAAACAATCAGATTTAAAAAAAAATAACCAATAAAAATATCCCACGAAGAAAAACGAATATTTAATAACGCAAAAATTTACAATCCATTTATTAAATCATCTATTACTATTTCGTAGCGTAACCGTTATTACTAATTACAGCATCTAAGCGTTTAAAGTACCCCCCTACGAAATTCTTGCATGTTTTTTGGTTAATATTTTTCCATTCTTCACGACAAAATTCCTTTAGTTCATGCAGGTTTCTTCTTTGAATTCTCAGTTCCAGCTCTCTCCGTAAATTTTCAATCGCATTGAGATCTGGAGATTGACTTGGCCATTATAGAACGTCTATTCTATTTGAATTTTACTATGATTTTGTAAGCTTTGCAGTATGTTTAGGATAGTTGTCTTGTTGAAAGACCCAATCTGGTTTCAAGGCCAGCGACGTAAATTTCTCTCTAAAATATTCCCATAATATGCTCCATTCATCCCCCCTTTTATTATTTCAATGTTCCTTACACCTTGGGCACGAAAGCAACCCAGATCATGATTGATACGCCTCCAAATTTTACTGTTGGGATAGTATTCTTCGACAAATATTCAGTACCTTTCTTTCTCTAGACCTTTGCCACAGCATTACTGCCAAAAAATTCAATTTTTGTTTCGTCAGACTAAAATAAATTTTCTCAAAATGATGCAGGTTTTATACAATTCTCGTTTGCAAAATCCAGTCCAGCAAGAACGTGTTTTCACTAAGAAGTGTTTTCTTTTCCTTAGAGTCCTTGAAAAGGATGTCATATCGACGAAGTGAACGACTAATTCTATCCATACTCACTTTTACGCCACTTAGTCTAGTCCACCCTGAAGTTCTTTAAGCGTAACTCGGGGCTCGTTCACAACTTTTCTCGCCAATAATCTTGCCATACGTTCCATTACCTTTCTAGGACGACCAGAGCTTTTGGTGGGGGGGGGGCGAATGGAATGACAAGTCTTCCAGTGACGAACAATCGTACCAACTGAACTCAATGGCATGGATATCTTCCTATAACCAAGTCCATTTATATGAAGGTCAACAAAACGTTCACGGAGGTCTTGATCAATTACTTTGCTTTTCCCCATTTTGTTCAGATTTAAAAGACGGTTGGCAGAAAAAGAATGACGCAATACTTTTAATCATTCCTAAAAGTAATCATAAAAATGAATCTGGAACGTTCTAAATAAAAAAACAACTCCACCCTAATTTGGGACATTCTAGTAAAATTTGAACACTTTTATTAAAAAAAAAAAAGCTGTTTTAAATAAAAAAAAAAAGTGTTCTAAACATTTGACTTACTAAATATCGGTTTTTCTTCGTGAGATACTTTTTGGAAGTTTTTTTAAAACATTCTGATTGTTTGACTGAATAACTAAATATATGTGTTACGAGCAGTATAAGTTTAATTAATGTAACTGTATTAGAAATGCCTAAAAAACATTTTTTGTAATATGTTGTAAACTTTGCGTGGCACTGTATATTATTTATGATAACAATTAAAAGCTTATACAATTAAATAATTAGACAGTTTTAATGCAGATTTTATGTTACGATTCGGAGCATATCTTGTGAAATTTGGTAATAGCTTGAGAAAAATATCTGATGATACATTGGTCTTAGTAGGACGAGAAATAAACAGACGCTGAAATTGTAGATTGAATCTACTGTCAAGGATTACTCAGACCTTCCAAAGTTTGCACAAAAAGAAAATGTTTTTTTTATTTAAAACAGCTTTTTTTTGCTTTGAAAAATTTTACAGTAAACATAATTTTGGTTGTAAATATAAAACATTTATGAGGATAATATGAGGATATCTTTCCTTTACGTTTTTATAAATTGTTCACTGGTCATTTATTAACGTTAACAACGAACTATTTTTTAAAAAAAGGACTTACAATATAATATATATTACTTATAATATATTCCTTCTTGCCATCAATTTTGACGGCACGAATACACTAGTTTTTTTAAATAAAAGATGAAATTTCAGTACCTTGTTATGATTAATCAGGAGTAGTATCCCCTTGTTTCGTTACTGTCCTCTTTGAGAGAACTATTTCTGTTTATTGGGACTATAAGAGGACACTATACGCAAACCTTGTATTGAACCTTTGTATTGACGAAAACAAAATATAATGCTGTTGTATAATAATTTTTTTGTAAAGACGTAATTCAAACAGGTGGTGGTTTTATTGACGAAAACAAAATATTATGCGGAGTGGTCCCAAACTTTTTGCCTTTAGTGTATATATCTTAGAAACTGATAATATTTTAATATTGTTTTTTCAATACCTAATTTTCCGGCGACATTAACAGTTAAATTAGTTATTGATTATTTACAGCATTACTTCAAAGATTCTATTAAATTATACGGATTTTAAAAAAATCGTCTAGTCTTTATTATACTGCTTTTGTTTTAACTGAAGTCAACTAATCATCTCTCACTGCGCAAGTCAGGAAATGGACTCTCGATTACCATGTAAGATTGTCCTGCAAGATAATAGCACAAGGGAGAACCTTTTTTTTTGCTAGGTCTGCTTGGCGTGTTTCTACACCTATCTACCTTCAAATTAAAAACGCTGAATTTTAAGTTTAAATATTACTGCAAAAAATACAGTATTCTAAGAAAGTTGTTTCACTGTGTCGTTCGAGACAATTTTTATCTCCAGTAACTATCATACATATCTATAAGTCTACGCTTAGAATATACCTATCACATATCTTTCAGCACCCCTGATATTCACTTTGAGCTTCTTGATAAAATCCAATGAATCAACAATATTATCGGTCCTGATCTAGCGGCTCGGTTTCAGTCTAGACTGGCGTCGAGATCTCATCGATTACTCCGGTTACGACCGGTTACTCTTTTTGTTTCTACTCATTAGTAATGTTTCTGTTTCTAATTCTTCCACACTCAGTAACCCCTTGCATCTTAGTGCCTTACATGGGGTGAAATCGATTTAACAAAATAATTTATGAATGAACGAATAATATAAGAAACTAACCAATTCACACTGTCCCTCATTTAGAGATCTTGGGCCAAAATATTTCTGTACATGATTGTAGGCTTCATCGATCGCTTCTTCCAGGAAGCGTCATCTGTACTCTGAGTATCTGCAGCTGGTGATGAAGCCATCATGTTTTCAAATATTTCGGTCATCCAGCGTTTCATAACCGCCTTCAAGGCGCTAAGGCATTACCCCGATTAGAATCAGACACACGCTGCGTGGGACACACTACCCGATAATAGTGGCGCCGCTAAATGTGTCTTCTTTAATTAACTTCTTTAAATCCACATGAACAGGTGAATTTATCACAGACAATAACTTCGTCATTTGGTCCGAAATTCTTTAGGAGTTTGTTTTTCTTTGTTTTTTTGTTTTTTTAAATTCACACCAATTGTCCTCTTTGCCTCTCTCACAGCCTGTTTTGACTGGTCACTCCAATGATGTGTATATTACTGTCTCTGGGTGAAGCTACCTCACGCAATATCTCTTCCGTTTCTTGGATCGCTAATTCCGTTGCTTAGCAAGGTCATGGTGCTAGATGACTTTCTTAACATCATACTATTACCCTGTCAGTGTGTGAGGTGGGGAAATAAGTCAGAAGACGATTATCACTAAACTAACATTCGCTTTGTGGTTAGGTGAAACTTTCTTAAATCGTCTTCCTCTCTGCGCCTTTCTTATCGTACTAGTAGTCTGAACTCTTTTCGATATTTAGCCATAAGCAGTCTACACTGCAGCCACATTAGCAATATTCAGAGTTTCCTGTTCTCAGCTACAATATCAATGTCGGTATAACACTTCTAATTGACTCTTATAACGCATTTTTTATTCCTCTCTTTGTTCCTTTGATATTAAACGAATATTCATAGTCAAGCACTCGTAATTTCGAAAAGCCAATTCATAATTTCAATGCTAAGCGGGTGTAATTTCAAATTTGCTGAAAATCTAAGGGGAACACTGTTTAAAAGAATTGCTGTCAATGCCAAACAGATCATTGGTCACTTAAAACGATAACTAATTTGTTTAAGAGACCTCTAGTTGGTTAGTTTCACGGGCGCAGACATTTCAGTTCAAAGGTGAAAAGGTATAGAGTATAGCATGTGAGCTGATTCTTTCAAGCGTCTTATTTCAACATTATTTATTTTAACTTTATCCACATCAATTGATGACTTTGCGTTTCTCTACCCCTCACATAGGCTCAGTCATGGCTAATTTCCATCTAACCCCAAATTTCGGATTTATTTAAACCTTGCTTAAACGGTCTTGTCGGAATCGCACACAAACACAATACTTTAGCCATGTCCACATTTGATGGAGGATTTCACTGACAAGGTCTTCAAATGATGGAACTGATTCTGAAAACTTTCCCAATGTTGTAAGGATGACATATTGCAGGAGAATGTGTACCACGTCTCTGAAGATAAAAGTGACGTTTCCAATGTATAAAATTAGCCCACTTTCTAACGCTACACAATCGCGCAACTTTTACCCACCTTCCATCGAGTTCCAACGAAGATCTTTTTCTTTCACAAGGTAACTTTTACTTAAACTATTGTTTATTAGAAATACAATGTCTCTTCGTACAATTATCTCACAGCTAATAAATAGAGAAACAGTATTACATGACACTGCCTACCACGTAACAAGCTTTCACGGCACATAAAAATTTGCAGTGAAATCTCATTAGTGCGCACTCTGAATCAACCGAATGTGTGGGTGGTGGATTGAGCCGAGTTCGAATTTCAGTCGGTTTCGTTACATTCAATTATATACAAATATCCTTGGCAAAGATCGGAATCCAACTTCTCCCCAGCAGCTATGGGTTAAATAGTATGACTTGTATCTGTTAAAATCTTTGTTATACTCAAATTGTTAACGCAATATTCACTATTTTTACAATCCAAAATACCACGTTAAAACATCGGTTCTCGTCCGATCACCGAAGTTAAGCAACATCGATTCTGTTTAGTATCTAGATGGGTGACTTCTTGGGAATACCAAGTGCTGTAAGTTTGGATGTGCGCAGGGTGTAATAAATAACATTTCGGAATTTGAAATCGGAGAGACAAGTTCGAATTCTAGTCAGGTTTGTTATATTCACTTACATGCAAATACTCACGAGAAATCCATCTGTTCCCCTCCCGGCTATTGGTTAAATAGTAGGACGTGTGTCAGTAAAACGTTATCTTCAAAATATCCTTACCAAAAATATTTTCTGGCTTTAAATAACCTGAAAATGTTGATAAGCCGTAAAAACAAATAAAACAAACTAAAATATGTTTCGGCTTTAAATAAGATACAAAGAATTGAGAAGCCATAAAAAACTAATCAGTCTTTAGTCTGACACAGCGTTTCTCAACCTTTTTACTCCTGCGTAACCCTTAAAATAAATGACATGTCTCAAAGAACCCCTGCGCAAAAACAAAAATATATACCATAATTTTTCCCATTTTATTTTCATCGTAGTTCACGTGGTAAATATCATAATATATATTTTTGAAAAACTGGTTTAAGGAAAAATTAATTACTTCTTTGTCAAATTTTTCGGTAATGCTAAATAAAATTAATACTGTTCATCGAGGAGTTTTCATTCACCCCGCAAATTTCAAACGTAAAAAATAAACCTAAGTAACTAATATCATATAAACTATAATATAAGCAGAACTAAAACATAATTGATGCATAAGTTTTTTGTTTGTTTTTTTTTACTGGCAATGTTGAAAAGACATAAGGCAAATCAAGATATTAGACATTTTAGAATATTACAATAACCAAGAATATATTGTGTATGTTTAATAATATTACGTATATGAAATTAAAAAAAAAGTCAAAAGTACATTAGCTTATCTGTTCTCGCAGGACCCTTGGGGACCTTTTGCAGAACCTTAGGGTTCCAGGGAGCCCCCGTTGAGAAACGCTGGTCTAACCCATTCATGTTTTGTTTGTTTGTTTGGCCAAGATGACGGTAGAACAAAGATTTAAATAAAGCCCTAAACTGATCTGTATGACTCCATTACCGACTAAAATTATTCGTCTTCCTAATACTCGTCCTATCTTAATAACAACTACACCCACGGTATACATTCAAGAATATTCCTGTGCACTCAGCCCAGCGATAGATGAGCCGGTTTCAATATTCGTTAAGTCTTCACAAATCTCCTGTATAGTCCACCCCGCTCCAATTTATTTCGAGATGAAAGTCCAGTAATCGTAAGTATATTGGAATGATCCGATTGTAATAGGCTGTCATTTTTCTTGTGATCATTTCCTTAGAGTAATGGTCTAAAGCAGAAAGTCATAATATCTTTTGGCATAGATTTTCGTTCATATCTACTTCTGTTATTGCCCCTTGGATTTTATTCCTAACAAGACAGTTGGTATTGCTTCTACAGAACTTAATAGAAAGGCAGACTCCTTGATCAGTTGAATTGATAAGAAATATCTTCCTTTTTCTTTTTTAGGAAGTAGACATTTATTTGGACACGTGACGCTTTCAGTCTATTATTCTATGTTCCGCTCCGCTATTTATTACTCTTATCGTCTACGATAGCCCAGCATTATTTTATGCTCGTCAACCTGACTTCGTGGGGGGGGGGGTCAAGTAAATACCGTATTATTTTATGCTGGAGCCTATATTAATGGTTTATGACTGCAATATAAAAATCACCAAATGGTCTAAAAAATGAACAAACCTAAATTTAATCTTTTCACATAATTTTATATAATCTTCGACATGGGCGTTGTTGGTAGTTGTCGAAGCAAAACGAATTGGTGGAATAACCTGATACTTCTGATATGGGAGGCCACTCTTAAGCTGCTTTTAAGCTTCTTTTAGTCTCCTTAAAAATAACTTCTGTCTTTCTCATGTGAGGGGTGTTCAGGATCTGCATTTGAAGCGTAAAGTATCCTATTGGTAGCTTGCATGTCGCAGGGGTAGAGAAGCCTCACAATTAAAAAAAAAATAGGCTAGTATACTTAACAGTTGAAAAATACTTGATCTCATTGTAGGCTAGAAATATCTTTTCTTTTATAGATTTTAAGAGTTCATTACCCTCAATTAAAGCGTTTTCTTGTACTCCACTCCAATAACACAAGGTTTCGAGATATAATATTTGGTCTTTTTAATGTGGGGTATCCATTCGCGTACAAAAAAATTCTCACTCCCCTGTTACCATGGAGGTGCTGCCGCAATGTGGGAATCTCCGGAACCAAGCATCCCTTAAAGTTTTTCTGTGAATTGTCCGAAGACAGAAACACAGAGAAGGTGAAGAGGAGATACTACACTTGATATTTGCTCGTCCCCCCACACCCACGACGACGAAATACGGCAAAAGGCCGGGTTAAAGTTGGTAGCCCAAGCGCGTGCACACGGGCCAAGTCCAAAAACTGCCAACTCCCCTGGCGACGTTGGTTGCGGGTGGTTGGCAATTTTTGCTTACCTTTTTAAGTTCAAGGAGGGAGGTGCTGCCGCAGGTGTGGAATCCCTGCGACTCGGCATCCCTCATTTATTTGTTGTTCTCTGTCTAAAGACAGAAACACAATTGAGAGATAAAAATGTTATTTACCTACCCGAAGGTAGATTGTATATACTTACCGTCCCACGCTGGCAGGATGTGAAACAAGGTCAATTTAATATAAGGAGCCAGAGGGTGTAAACACGGGCCAGGTGCCAAAACAGCCCAGCCCCAACAACCATCGGTTGCGCTGGCATCGTTATTATTATTGCGAGAAGGGACAACTCAACACCGCCGACTGTGCGCCAGGAAAACTCAAGACTGGGACAACACAGCACTAGAAAAACATAACTTTTTTTTATAATCAAATAAAAGTAATTTCTTAAGGATTAAAACTTTAATTAGTGATTTGTCTCCGTCCTCAGTTATCTCTGTCCTGAGTTGTCCCGGTGCTTAGTTATCCTGCACCACTACTACTGGCAAAAAATGGTTGCTGAAGACATTAGGTTTATAATAGTGAGCGAAATAAAGGGTTCAGTTCGACATTCCAACCACCTGAAGAGGGCAGGAGCGTACAACGACCGAAAACGTTGTAATAAATATAGCGACAAAGATGAGGACAATAGTCCGAATAATGTAAATAGTGTACATAATACCTCATCTCAGAAATATCGACAGATACTCAATAAAATCTGTAAAAATCTTTCACATACCTAGGAAGCGAAATAAATTCTACTGAAGACGATGTGAAAATTCGCTAAAGTTTGGGCCGCCTTGTATAAAATGGATGTTATCTGGAAACCTGATCTATCAGACAACCTCAAACGGAGATTCTTCCGAGTCAGTGCCTGGACATTAACTAAAACCCTATATTCTAAGCTCGATGTAACCTACACTCAGATACTGAGAGCTATACTTAAGATATCCTGGAGACAGCATCCAATTAAATCACAGCTGTATGGAGCCATCCATGATTTCTATAATCTTATGCGATTGCAGAATGCGCTTTGCAGGACACTGCTGGCGAGAAAAACAAGAACTCCCGAGTGATCTACTGTTCTGGACACTTAGCCACAGGGTAAGATGCGTTGGTCGCCCACAAACTACATACATTGACCAGCTATGTTATGACACAGAATGCCAAATGAATGAACTTCCGACCTTGATGTACGACTATGACGACTGGCGTGATAGACTCGTGAATGTCCGAGTTAACTCGACCAAATAATAAATAAACCTTAACTATATATAAGTGTTTGTTTGAATTATTTTAGCTTTCTTTTTATCTTTATCCTTCTATAGCCTATAGCATCTTAACTTTTTAGATCCGTTTTCATTTCGTTCTGTGCGAGAAGAGATATTTTGGGGCTCCTCGCTACGCCATTACTCGTTTTTTTTTATGGTGATATGATTGTTTTGGATTTTGTTTGTATTTTCGGGGTTTTTTTTTGTTGTTGTTTTTTTGTTTTTTTACACTTCGTCTAGAAGATTTTCATTTTTGACAGTGTTTGGAGTCAATCTGGTTGAATATACATTATTCGATAATGAATGGTGTGACGTGACAGGGCAATGACTCTCACGTTTTCTGGCTCCAGAATATTTGCTAATAAGCTTTTTTCTATCTTCATTATACGTATCAGAGTAAACATGTCGTCACCTAGGTGGTTTGTGACATGCCATATTTCTCTTCATTTTACTATATCACCGGCTCGTAGCACAACATTGGATCCATTCACTTCGACATGGCGTTATTATAAAGACACTATACTATTTTTCAAGCGAAGTTCCAAGCACCTGAAAACAGTTAACTCTACTTAAATTTTAATGTAACATCAGATGCATTACAGCCAATTAAAACTTTTGAGGCTTTCGAATCGCTTGACTTCACCAACAACCCTTCTACAAGGAAATAGCTCTGGTGTCAATCCGTATGGTATTTGGATTGGGAACGGACGAGATATTTAATATATTGTAAACGATAGGGGCTTGACGTGACGTTCTGTTTGATCGAATCGGGCTTCTCCGACAATCCATCTAGGTTAAATAAAGGCTAAATTGGTGTGTTGCAGTTCACATGTCCACAATCTCCAGAATTCCGTGTCGGATGTCTAGGCCTCGCCGACAGGCTACCTCAGATTTATACAATAAAAAACCGGCCGCTATTAATGAAGTGTTTTATTTTGGGTACACTTATCAGTTGGGCCACTTTACTTACGTGTGCTACTGGTACAATGTAATAACCCAGTACTAACTAGATGTTTTCACGATCACTACAATCTTAAATTGCTCAAAGCTAGAGTCAACCGTTATCTTCCACTCCTATATGCACAAATTAACGTAACCCTCTACCTCGAGTGGCCTCCGGGCCTTGTAAAAGGTGAACTTTACGGTAAAAAATTTTTTTTTCTGGTGATTGGGGTGATCAGACACCCAGCAGGATTACAAACAAGGCGTCAAAAGGTAGATGAATCTCCTTCTAGGGGCAACAGCTTTCTAGCATAACGATATAGAATAGGCTACATAACTGATGAAATCAATGGCTGTATGTCTGTGACCAAGGCGGGTCTTAAAGTCTTGGAGGATATAGGCTGTAGACTAACTTGGACAGGGATAGGCTACGTCTGGACACGCTACGCATGAAAGAATACCTCTCCGGCTTTCAACCCAGATATGTACATGAAACTAGCCAGTTACTCAGGTCATGAGACTGATCGCAGATTACCCATTCACACTCTTATTCATCTATTATTATTATTATTATTATTATTATTATTTCCTTTGATTTCTGGCGTTTACACATTTCTTTCCGGGCCCCGGCCAAGGAGCTAAGGTTAGAAATGGCATCGTGACATTTTCCACTGACAAAAAAAAAATACATAGATAAAGCCCTTCGTAAAGTGTGGGCTGTACATGTCAGAACAATTTTTTGTATCTCTTTGAGGCATGGACTTCCAGGAATCTCTACAATTAGTCTACTGGAGTGTTTTCCAACCAATCATAGGGCTCCAACTACAACAGGGATTGTTGATGTTCCCATGTGCCACATTTTTTAGGTTTCGATTTCAAGGTTCTTGTATTTGGACAGCTTTTTGAATATCTTCAAAGATACATTTCAGTCTGCAGGGACTGTCATATCAATAAGGAGGCACTTTTTTTGTTTGTGGTCTTTAATAACAATATCTGGGCGGTTGGATTTGATTGTTCTGTCAGTGTGTATTGTGTAGTCCCATAGAATTGTAACAAGTCCTATCTCTGTAACCGGGTCTGAATGGTGTTCATACCAGTTTCTTTCAGTTTCCTTCCCGTAGAAGTTGCAGATTTTCCAGTGCAGATATTGGCCCACTCTGTCATGTCGGGTTTTATATTCAGTGGGTGCCAATATCGTGCAACCTGATACAAGCTGATCAATTGTTTCTGGATATTTATCACAGAATCTGCATTTTGGGCTAACACAATATTTTAGTATATGGGCTTGATAATTCCTACTTAACAATCATTGTTTCAGTTTTAGCTTTCAACCCTGCACTACGTAGCCACTGATGGGTATGGGTTTTGTCTACGTCAGCTTGTTTGGTACGGGCAGTGTATTGGCCATGAAGCGGTTTATCTTGCCATTGTTTCTGTATCTGGTCAGTTGCATTTGTCTTTGCTTTCTTTTTGAGTATTTTGCAGCTTCAGCCGGTGTATTGTGCTGTACTTGTATTTCTGCGCCCATTTGAAACTCCATTTTGAATTTGTTGGCTTCCTTTATTACGGAGTAACGACGCTTATTATTATAATTATTATTATTATTTTAATAACGTATCAAAGTAAATATCTTGCTTAACTTGGGAGGGTTTACGTTATATTCTTTCCGTTACTATCTGGTCCCTTCATTTGTTGAGCAATTTTTTTCTCATTGTTAGGTTAAATAGCTGGTTACATCGATGGAGCCTTAAGTCGATTGGCATTTTAGAGTACCGAAGTTTACAGAGCGGTCTGAATGCACTTAGGTAGTTCTAAACAATCTTTTATGTGGAGTGTCTTTTCAGGAAGTGTGCAATAATGTCTCTTCACGTCTTATCCTTTGTCGCTCTAATGTAATGTATGCCTTTCTTATTATCTCTATAGATGTCTTCATTTACTTTTTTTTCAAACGCAATAGCAGTCCTTTCTGTCGTTCAAAGTTACAAATTCACAATCTGAATTTAATTACAGTATTGCAACGACCTGGCTAAGTTAACGAAAAGAAATGTCAACATTTTGAGCTAAACTTTTCTCAATTTAAAAAAAAAATGTAACAAGTACCGTATTTGACGGCATATAAGGTGCACCTTTTTTCTACTAAAAATATCTTTTAAAATTCCCCTGCGTCTTATATGTAGGTTTAAATTTCGCGATAGTTGGCCAATTAACTACCTGGCAACTCCTATTAGCTTAGACTTAATCACGTGGATGGTAATGCTTGGCCATGACCTTACACTTACAGGAAGAATAAAAAGATCCAGCATTGCACAAGTCTGCAAATGGGTGAAGCAAGCTTGGGATATTATTAGACCAGAAATTGTGAAATCTTTTAGCAATGCTCTCAATGGAACGGAAGATGACACATTATTTATAATAGTATAAAAAATGAGTATCAGAGTTTTGATAACGAAGACGATGAATCTTATGGATTTGAAGATGAATAAAATTTTAATGGTAACTGTACTGTTTTGCTTAATTGTAATAATTGCTTGATTTTTTATTTTGTTTTCTTACCTTTGAATATAATAAAGTTTTTATAGGCTCGTGTTCTTTTTTTTTCCTATTATTTTTCACTTAATTGTAATCATGGCTTATTTAACCAAAATAATACTTCATAAATATAGCCTAGGCTGTACAATTTACTAATAATTTTACTAATTTTTCTTGATTTAGATTAGGTCTTAGATACCGGTGCGTCTTATATGCTGTGAGATACGGTATATATCGCCCTGTCGGTTGGGGGGGGGGCAAGATAAACTGACTGTCTCTCAGTAGAAATGCGAAAAAAGAACTACTGCTTACCTGTTTCTGTTTCTAGCTTATCTTTTTTTTTTTCTGGCCCTCGTCTGAAATGAAATCCATTTCCAGCTATTTACTCATCGAAACGATAGAATTCGGCAAGAAAAGAATTGATATACCGTAAACAAAACCAAACAATTTATACATTTTTTCATTGATTGTCTTTGAGAATTGGTATGAGCCCACCTCTTTTCTCCCCAACTATGGATTAATTATTAGGACTTGCATGTGGAAAGAATAATTGCGATTCTCAATAGAATTGCTCATGTCATATTCACTCGCAAAAGAAAAGAATTATTCTTAATATCCAAAATATGTTTTGATTTTAAATAACTACTAATAGGTTGATAAACCGTAAAAAATACAAATCAATTTTTCTCATATCGGGACTTAAGTGATCATGGCTCAAAGGTTTTTTTTTTTTATCTTTATCTATGAATTTCCATTACTTCTTGTGTTGGGAAAGACTGGTTTCTTTTTCTAGTCTGCTATACAAGGCCACATCACGTTGAAACACCGCTTCCTGTACGACCACCGAAGTTAAGCAACGTCGAACCTGGTCAGTACGTAGATGGGTGACCGCTTGAGAACACCAGGTTCTGTATGCTTGGATGTAAGTGTGGTATAATGGATAATGGCTCGGAATTGTTAATCGGAGAACTGAGTTCCAATTCCAGTCGATTCTTTATATTCACTTACGCGCAAATACCTTTAAGAAAGGCATGGATCCACATCTTCTCCTCCTAACTAACGGTTAATTAGTAGGACTTGTATCAATACACGATTATTATCTCTAAAAGATTCTTAATTAAAAAATATTTACTTGTTTTAAATAACCTGCAAAGGTTGATAAGCCGTAAAACAAAAATTAACTAATCAATCAAAACAGAAAATGCTCACGCAATATTCACTCCCAAAAGAAATGAATTATTTCTAAGTCCCAAAATATGTTTCGATTTTAAATAACCGCTAAAGGGTTGATAAGCCGTAAAAAACCAAATCAATCTTTGAAATGTACTTTTAGGACGTATGTGATTATAGTTCAAAAGTTTTTATCTTAATTGTCATTATTTCTTGTGTGATTTCCTGTTGCTTTCTCTATGGTTTTGAATTTGTATTCCTTTCTTTAGTCTGTTATCCAAGGCTACAGAGCAGTCTACTCTATTTAATCCATAACACTATTAAACTCATATAAACTCCAAAAGTACATCACTAAAATTGATGCATTTGCTTGTATTCGAGACTGATTAAAAGTGAATACTCTTCCTTAAATTATTCTAACCAAATTCAGAAGTGATTCCTTAATATTGCATATCATACAATTCTTTATTGTACATTCTTCATATTATTACGTAAGTCATAAAATATAATATGGAAAAAGTAAATGGTTAAAGTTTATTAATTTTTAATCGAGGAGAGTTCCAAACGCAGCAGTATCTTGAGGGAGTAATGTTACATAAAATAATTCCCCAGTAATTTAAGAAAAGGTTGTTTTTTTCCCGCCCAATGGCGTTATATCAACTCTCATCTGTTAACTGGATTCTTTATCCGACCAACAAATAAAATGAACGCACGCAAACTTTCTCATTGTTCTATAACAAATATAAAAGGGAAACTTGAAATCGACTACATTTAAGCCAATAACCAATATGCATAATACCTATTGTCGATTGCTACTCATTTGCCTCTAAACGATAAAAGTCTTGGGCGGTTTGACGTGGTGCAAGCTTATCTCGCTACATCAATTACGAGAGTGTTGGGAATTTGATCTTCAAATGATGCTCCATACCATCGGCCTTGTGCCACATCTAAGCTATGCTTAGTAAATCGCTATAAGAAGACAGGAATTCCCGGTTAGTTATATTGATTCTGATTCATATTCGGCGTCAGAATGAATTAAATGCAACTAAATTATATATAAGTTATTGTATCATCTTTCATTGTAGAATCATCATTTATTTTATCTAGTTACCACATTTTGCGCCGCGGTGGTTACCCCTCCTTTTCATCAGACAATTGTGTCTCATGGTAACGGGCCCAGTCTGTTCTGCAATTTATCCATAAGAGCAAGAGATGAGGCCCTTCAACATGGAGTAATAGTTAGCAAGCTTGTTTCGCTAGTACATTTACGACTGAATAATGAGTTCGATCCTCACTGGGTGTCCTATAATTTCAGTGTCAGAATGAATTAAATATATAAGTTATTGTCAACTTTCATTGTTAAGTTATTGTATCAACTTTTCATTGTTCTTTCATTTTATTCAGTTAGCGCATTTTTCGCCATCACTAAACAAAGCCTAAAAAATCACCTTATTTGGGCACTTAGACATGGTGTAAGGGCTAGCAAACTTGTCTCGCTAGAACAATTATGACTGAGTAATGAGTTCAGTCCACACTGGGCGCCCTATACTTTCGGCCTTGTGTCACATCTAAAATCACCAGAAGAGTAAGATATGTATTCATACCTTTCCCAAGGGTATTAGCACGCAAGTGAATGCAGTGAACTCGACTGGAATTAGAACACTGCTCTCCGATTCCTCAATCTGAGCCACTATCCATTACTCTACCTTGCTTCCATCTATTGTAGGATCATCAGGCTTTAAAATTCAATTCGAGCTGTCCTTTAAACATTAATCGCATTTATTCTTCTGCAACGACGTGAATTTCACAAATCTCAGCTATCATGAGATATGTGCGCATGTGAGCATAAATTAAGCAATATATGGAAACGTTCTTGATGTTAAGCAATCTTTACTCTTTTTTTAATCATTTCACGCCATGCAAGACAGTAAAACCACTAAGACACAAGTATTTACTGAGTGTGAAAAAACAAGAAACATTATTAAAGAGCGAGAACAATACAAGATACAATGGCTTACTGTGTGTGAAAGAATAAGACAAAGGAAAAAAGGAACAAGAAGAATAAAAGAAGAGGATTCAGGAAGACGGTAGATAACGACTGACATTGCATTTAAATTTTTGAACATCAAAGTTAGGTGGAAAGCATGGATCCAAGAGAGAGTTCCACTGTCGAAAAATGCGAGAAATGATATTTAAAACTTGATGCCATCTAATGACAACCCCGCACTTTTTTTTACCAATTCCATATTTTTAAATATCTCACATGTCTGTTAATTGAAGTGTTTCTCCGTTTTTTTTTTTTGTTTGTCTTTAGACTTTTAGAAAACATTTGAATTCTTAGACCATCTACTTATACAAAATGGACTCGTTTTGTTATTCACAAAGTCCTCTTGTTCAATGTCAAAACCTTAATTCAAAGTTTCTTAATTATATATTCGATAAAAACAAAAATCAAATATCCAAGATCCAACCTTGTATACCGTCAATGATACCATCTTCTAATCTTTCATACGAAACACAAAATCCCTTATCATATTTAAAGGGCGTATAAACGTCTTGAAAACAATACGGAAATCTCGGCCTCTCGGGATTCTAATTCAGTAATTATAACACCAAGATACAACTCGACAACCATGTTTCCCCCCGCTTACACCCTCTCTCTCTCTCTCTCACTTTCTTTCTTTCTTTCTCCAAACTCCCCCATCTCAGGTTTGCTCCTGCTGTTTTGTTTCCGCAATTTAAAATAATGTCTATAGGTTCTTTTCATTTTGGTCTATTTACCATCCCTCCCTACCCCCTCCCTCCCTAACTCCACGTCACATCTGTTCCAATCGATTCATTATTGGGCGTGTCTTACATCTGGACAGACGTATAGATGTTCTGTTCACGTGCTTACCAAACCAGTTGCAATCAACGGGCCATGACGTAAACGTAACTAAGATAATTTACGAGAGTCCCAAACGACAAAATTCAGTTTCGTGACTACTGACGTGTAAATATGTGACTCAGGTAAAACAAGGGCAGGTAACTCGTTCAGAAGGAAACACTTCTGCCTCAATTCCGGGGAGTGGGATCAGTAAAACTAATAAGCAAAATCTCTTTAAATCTGAATATACAAAAAGGTTGAAAAACCATGAAAACTCCTCTCTGTCCTTCTCTCTTATCTTTCACCGCAAACAAGGCAATAAAGCCACTAAGACAAAAGGGGTTACTGAGTGTGAAAGAATAAGAAATAGTGAATTCTCTAACAAAAAACAACTCTCAAAAATAGATATCTCCGGAAAGTCCTCGCAAGAAACATGCCCAACAAACAAAGCACACCACTAATAATAAAAAAAAAAAAATTCTAAGTCCGAGATAGAATGGATGATAAACCACCAAAAAATACAAAGGAAATTCAAAACGCTGAGGAAAGTAGTGAATTCCCAAACAAAAACAAATAAAAATAGAAACATGGAACATAGAATAATTTAATGGAACTGTGTTGAAATTAAATCTGTCATCAAAAGAAGATTCTTCGCGGAAAGATGAATATTCTCACTACTCTACAGTCACGTCCTCAGAAAACGGAACCGGAAATCCTTCCTAAGGATGTCCATTTACCTCTTCACTGATCCGGTGAACTTTTTCATTGACCTAATAGTAACATATTCAACTAGTGAATTTGAATTTCGGGAGGTCTAAATCTAATTTATTATATGGTGCTCATATCTCTGCTCGACCTACTGATCAGATGATTTCAGCATAGCATTTTTCACTGATTTTGTTGTACTTGTACTTGATTAACTTCCGTACGGCGATACTGCGCACCTTTCTCTCTCTACGTTCCCAGCCATACTCTATTTACAGTTATTTGTCGGATTTTATACTGATGGAGACTCAAAAAAAAAAAAGAATTATTCTTATATGATTAAAAAAATATTTCAACTTTTAATAACCTACATAGGGTCGTAAAAAATCAATCCGTCATTCTGATGGAGGTTCAGTCTATGCAGATATCTAATCCAATTTCCCGGAAAACAGTCCAATCATTAAGGGAAAATACATTATTCAAAATTCTGCAACTCTCTTAGAAAGCACACTGAACATGACAGGCATGAAAATGTGATCGGACCCTCACTTTTGACCATAAATTAAAGAAGTATTTACGTTTGAATTTCCTGAAATATTTTTGAAAGTGTCAAAAATCTGATGGGATACATCGGCGAAAATATAATAAAGATGAGGAAACAGATCTGAAAAGAATAATAGCGACTATGCTTACGTTTACGTGTGTCATATGTTATTTCATATATATATATATATATATATATATATGCATATAGACACAAATATATATACACACACATATATGTACACATATATATACACATGTATATACATATATATATACACACAGATATATACAAATACATACATATATATATATATATATATATATATATATATATATATATATATACAGGTGCGGTGGATAAATTGTCGTCAAAATTACTCAAAAATGAAAATAATACTGTCATCTCATTTTAACATATATATTTACCAAAATTACATAAAAATATTTAAAGAGTAAATTTATTCAATAAGATCACCATTGGCTTCAACCATGCCCTTCAGATGACTTTGGAATCACCTGCAACTCTTATGGGTGGTTTTCTTGTTTGAGTTAGTGAATGCTGACACAATACTTGCCTTCAGTTCATTTTTGCTGTTACAAGGAGTTTTGTTAGTTACTCGCTCAACTG